CCGTGAGTCTCCAGCCAGCCGTCAGTGGCCTTTTCAACATCCCCCCAAGCCTTCCAGCTGCAAGTCCGTCCCCGCTGACCTCCATCCCACCCCGTCGTGTGGAACAAATGAAGGAGAGGGTACTGGGAGGTAGCAGCCTCGACCTTGGGCCTGGGCATGGCTGTGTCCAGAGCCATGTCTACACCACAGGAAACCACGTTCACACACCTGTAGTTGTTTGTGAGAGTCAGTCACACAGATACTCGTCCACAGGGCCACACTCACTGAACCACACACCCATACACAACCACAAGGCAACTCAGCCACACACGCTTTCTCTAGACATAAATTTAGTCTTTTTGGAATCATAACCACATGCCCAGATAACCCACCAACTTGCATACAAGGTAAGTCCCCTGGACTCACATCCCATGTGTGGGAGTTCCACCGTATTCTCGGTCCACATGCCCTCTTCACTGATCACAGTTAACAGCACCACCGTCTCCAGGAGCCTGGAGCAGGGAACAGGCACCTTCCTGGGCCATGTCTCCTCAAAGAGAGACTACCCTCAGCCCTCGAGGGACCACACCATTATCCAGGCACGCGACTCACTAGCCACACTCTCCCAACCACTGAACCACACAGCCAGCTCACACCTGGCCTCGTCCTGACTCCCAGATACCTTCCTACTGAGACAGTCACACCCTGTCCTTCCCACCTTCAGCCTTCAAGGACCCTTTGCAAGCACCCTGATCCCTAAATTCTCCCAACTACGGATATACCCTCATTGTGCAGTTATGCACACAGAGCTGGGAACCAAGTAAACTAGGACACGCGGGACCCTCAGACCAGGTTATAGAGCCATGCTGAAAGCCTCTCCTGCCTCCTCAGCACACACTGACCCACCGTCCCTCCTCAAAGTCCCACGTAGAAACGGGGGAAAGGGCTAGAGCAGTGGTTCCCAACCTTCCTAATGCCGCGACCCTTTAATACAGTTCCTCATGTTGTGGTGACCCCCAATTTCATTGTTACAAATTGAACATAATTAAAGCATAGTGATTAATCACAAAAACAATATGTAATTGTATATGTGTTTTCCGATGGTCTTAGGCGACCCCTGTGAAAGGGTCGTTTGACCCCCAAAGGGGTTGCGACCCACAGGTTGAGAACCACTGGGCTAGAGGAACAAGTAGGGGCCAGATTCCAACTCCGGGTGTCAGGGAAGAGACCAGATCTGCTGGCCTTGTGACTCGAAGGTCCCTGTTTTGTAATAAAAGTTTGTTTCTGGCCTGTGGTCCAGCCCCGTGGCAGAGCCTGGTGTGTGTGACAGCGTCTGACATTGTGAGTAAGGGGTGGGGATGGGGGCGTCCACCCCTCCCTGGAGGCTGGGCGGGACCTGAAAAACATGGCCCCCGCCCACCCTGGCTGTTGACATCAGTACCAGATGTGGGGAGGAGGGGCCTGTCCTGGGCTTACTTCCCGGGAGGCCGAGGGGGGTGGGGAGAAGGTAACCTCGGAACAGCTGGCCTGGACCCTGGACAGGGTGGGCCTCAGCCAGGGAAAGCCTGAAAATGGCCCATCCAATCCCTGGGAACTCTCCCAATCTAAAAGCAGATTCTGAAACACAAACCCTAACCCTACTTCCGCCTCTTTTAAACCCTTTTCCTCCTGCCTTCTTTAAGAAACCAGAAGCATCGTTTCATTTGTTAATTAGTAAGGAAGTTTTCAAACACAGAAGTAGACTAGTACAATCACCAATCTCATTTGACAACCATCACCTTCCTGCTTTTTATTTCATCCACTTTTCTGCTAGTTTTATGACAATGTTCAAGATTCAAAATTCCAGTAAAGCTGAGGGAATTATTGGGGAACTGCCATGTGCCCCTGGCTTCAGTTGGCTTTAGTACATGTCTCTCCACCTATCCATCCAGCTCATTTTTCTAGGAGTTTCAAAGTAACTTGCAGACAGTTTATCTGACCCCTGAATGCTTTAGCAATGCATGTAGTTTTTTTTTTAATTTATTGATTTTAAAGCAAGAGAGGACATCAATTTGTTGTTCCACTTATCCATGCATTCATTGATTAATTCTTGCATGTGCCCTGACCTGGCATCAAACCTGCAACCTCGGTGTATTGAGACAATGCTCTAACTGACTGAGCTACCCAGCCAGAGCCGAAAGTTTTGTGTTTTGGGGTTTTTTCCTCTGATGCTATCACTTTATTTTTTGGCTTAAGTTCTATAGAGGTAGCCCAGAACAGTGATATGATGAGATTGGGATCAGATCCTAACTTTGCCACTTTCCAGCTGATCACAGCCTGACTGAGGAGGTAGCATCTGAGAGATGTACTAAATTTCAAAAAAGAAATGTGAAAAATTCTGGGACTTAATAGAAACAAAATACAAGCTAAGTTCTGGGATGTACTATTACTGTGTTTTAATATGTCAATGCTGTGGGCAAAAAAAGGGACCACATACTGAACCTGATAAGCTCAGGGGAGGCCTGCATGACGGCCTTGTCAATGCAGACTGAAAGTAACCACATAGGACAGTGTGACCGTAATTCCTAACTAAAAGCAGGTCACGGCCCGTAGCCTGTCCTGGGCCTGTAGCTTCCTTGACAAAGGCCAGCCTTTCCTTAAGTGAGCCTGTCTTTTTGCATCTAAGGTAACATACCTTGGAAATGTTAGAGTAATCTTTCCCAGACCCCTCAGGGCACACCCAAGGAACCAGAGCTGAGACCACAGAAGCCCTTGTTGTTATCTGTTCTTCCACATACCATCTCTATGTGCTGTAATTGCTCACTATCCTGTAAAAGAAGTACGTATCCGTTTTACTTTTCATCCAATCTCAGAGATTCCCCCTGCTCCACCC